GTGACCGCTCTGTGTTTGGAGGTTCGCAGTCGTGGGGGGGGGGGGGTCAACCCCAAAAAAAAATAATGTGACATCCCCTGCATTCAAGCAGTGAAAGAAAACAAAAAAAAATGTATATTGGTTTATACAAATGAACGTCGGTGTAAGGAGGGACTGCGTTTAATCGGGCCCCCTCACGCCGTTTAGGCACGCCACCCAAAAAACCACATGCAGGAGGCAATATCACGCCCCGACTGCAGAGAGGCTGAGTTGTGAGGAAGAGGAGGAGGAGGAAGAGGAGGAGGGGGGGGTCTGCACGCAACAGAGTGAGGCGGACGGATCTGTGGAAGCTGGGTCTGAAATACGGACGCTAGGTTGAATACTAATGCGCCTTTGTCTATACACACACACAGGGAATATATTGTAATTCTTATTTTATTCATCAAACAATACACGGCCTCCCCCCCTCTCAGGGGGTGATTGCACCAGTAGAGCAGCAGTAACCCCCCCCCCCCCCCCCATCTCCCTCCACACATGAGGAAATGAAAAGGAAATTTATGACCATCCGTCACCTTCAGCTGCAGTCACCTCCCCGTCCTTCAATCTCTCTTTATCTCGTTGCTTTGCCGTTTTTCTAAAGAGATCTTTCAACCGCCGCGAACGGCGGGGGCCAAAAAAGCGCTCTCAAAGACACCTCAGAGCCGTCCCCCGTTTCGCATCCATCAGATATGAAATAATGTCGGGGCTGGAATCGGCCGCCCGGCGAAGCGCCGTTCCATTATTCAAATTGAATATCACAGCTTCAGAGGCTATTGGCCGTTTATCAGCAGCCCGTCTGCGCTCGGAAACTCTTTCAGAGACACATGTCTCAGCGTGAAGGAGATGATGACAGGGTTCGGATAACACAGCCGTCGCTTTGATGGAGGTTTTTACTGCTTTGTGGGACATAAGTTGGAGCGGCGGGACTGTGGAAGCCCGTTTTTTTTTGCGGCCTGAGGCGCAACCGTCGAGTTTGTTGACACTCAGTTTCGGTAGTGCAATCATAGGTGCCACTAAAACCCTCACACTGCCCTCTGCTGCTATAAGATCAGCTTTTTTCTTCTTTAGATTTCTGAACTTCTGACCATCTTTGCCCCTAAGGGGACTCTACTTCTCTAAGGTGCTCTTTTTTTAACAAAGTCAATACAGACCCATTGATTTATTTTTTATTGCCTTTAAAAAAAAAGACATTTTGCCACTAACAATGAATATTGAATGAAAAATCATTCATTTGATATTCTTCTATTATCTTAAGCTGTTAAATGAAAAACAAAAGGCCTTAAGGAAGTATATCATGTTTCTCGATAGCAGCGCAGTGTTGTTACAAAGGACAACTGTACAACTGCCGTTTCACATAATGTTACAATTAAAGATAATCTTGTCTTTGTCAGGTCTGAGAATATTAAGAAAATACCACCTGGGATGTAAAGCAACATCTTACACTTTTCTAATCTCAAAGAAACAGAAATAAAAAGCCAGACAAAAGGCAGCAACGGTGTGTAAAAAAGTAAATGAAGGCCCCCACCAAAGTGTCCACAGCCTCCAACAGGTTTCAGCTGTTGGACAGACAAACCGTCTGTTTGTAATAAACGCTCAGCTCAATAACTGCAAGGCGCTCTGGTCCTGCTGCTGCAAATCCAGCGCAAATAATCAGCCCTCCACCGCCGCTACTGGAGGTGTTTGTCCTCCTATATGGCGTGTTTGGTTTTCTCTAAATGAGGTGCAGGCAGTGCATTATGCATTATATAGACAAGCCATCAATGTTTATTCTTTTTCAAGTACTTGAAAACCTAACCACAGAAGCCTGTGCAGTTTGAGACATAGCTCTTTGGTTTTTCTCTGCATAGCACAGTCTGAGTGTGGTGCTGAGGTCTGACCTTGGGGGGGGGGGGGTGGAGTTTTACGGGTCTTTCCCACCCTGTGTTTTTTGATTTCGTGACTAATCTTTCACTCTATTGAATGACTGCTTGCTAATGGCTGGAAAATGGCCTTTTAACCCTTGTCGTGTTGAATCTTCTCTCTGACTTTGTGTTGCTTAATAAATACTGGCAGTCTAATACATCATTCATGGCTGTTCTTCTGAGGTTATATTCACCTCATTTTTTCAATTATTGTGCCCGGGTTGCGCTACGCTTTAAAACGAGATGTCACCAAAGACACACGACTATCCCAAACGGGGGATTACAACTGCGTTTGAAAAGTCCTTGACATTTAAATCTATAACCATTTTGTTTTTGTCACCACTTGGGGCTATCCAGTTGTGGACCAAAAATGCAAACCAACCATTAATCCTGTTTTTCACGCTACAATGGTGGCTAGGAAATAATAGAATACACCTCTAAGTACAATATGAAAACACACGGTTGAGTTACTGTGTGTTCTTTCTTTCTCTTTTGTTTAGGTCACGAATGCAATTTGAGAAAAAAACTCTTTTTTGTATAATTCTATTCCAAAGCCAAGATGTGCTAAAATCCATTTCTGACTGTTCAAGAGTAAAACAGCTTTAATTTTCTTGTTTTTCTCATCAAAGCTGAAATATGAAAACAACAAAGGCTTCTGAAAAACATGCAGACCTTCCTGTCTATCTAACACTAATTCTTAAACTAGCGGGAAGGTTGATTGAAATGTAAATAGAAGCATATTTGTAATTTGCATATATCCAAAAGCAGCATATGAATTTGAACATTTCATTAAAAATATACGGTTGCAGAGAAGTCGATTGAAATAAGATACTTTTTAAAAAGCTTCAAGGTAAGAAAGCAGCAGATTTGCGACCTGACAAGCTACAAAAAAAGAGCACTTCAAGAAGTAGAGTCCCAAATAGTTCTTGAATCTGACATTGCCAGAACTTTGAATCTACCATCATCTACACTAGATGATATAATAAAAGTGATGTCGACACATTCTTTCTTTCTTGTGACCCAGTGGGGAGGGCTTTTGGTTTTGGGGGTACTCACCTGTGGGAGGAGCTGCCTGCGGCGGGGCTCCGATGGGTGTGTCCACGCTCAATTTTCTCTTTGCCTCCATCACTGGATTCTCAAACTGGGTCTTCTGGTTGATGTGGCTGTGCAGAGAAATGGAAATGGAAACACAGAGCGTGACACGGAGCCTGGCTATGCACAGCAAATGTATTTTCGCACTTTAGTTTCTGTTGGCAATCTGTTCATCACACATTTAACAGCCCATTTTTTTCATTTTCTTTTTTTGGGGGGAGAGAAAATCTTCTTATTCCCCTCTAATCATTTGGCCTCAGTGAGCAGAACCACTCCATACTGCTGATTCTTCCCTTTGACAGCAATGCAAAGCTTTGTCTTTAAATACAAAAACGCCAGAATACTACCTGTAAAGGGAAGACGACATAAGAAAAGACAAATAACACGTAGACAGCAGGGAATCCAAAATTCGCTAATACTTTCAGCCGGGTCGTTGACATGCACGAGCACTTGATTTGGCTTTCAAAAGGCCCAAGAAATGCCAGGGATAGAAACCAAAAGACATGTAAAAGGGGAGGTGGTGCAGATGGAAAGAAACAGGAAAACGAAGGACAAGGAGGTAGAAGTCCTGACATGCTCCTGGGTAATAAAGAGGAAAACTTTTGGAACTGAACAGACAATAGAATAATATAAAGAATGTGATATTGTGGAGTCTAATAGCTCCGTTTTACAGCTGTCAGACCATACAGGCAAGCACAGACTACAGACAAGTTGGGGTGATCCTTGACATGTAACCGAAAGAGATACGGTTCTAAAACTTTGAAGCTCCGTTTCATCCATATTTCTACAGTTAATTATTCAAGTCACAAAAGGTCTCAGGAAACGCGTCATCTCGGCGAAATCGAAACATTCTCCAGGAACAGAACTTAGCGGCTTTGACTGCTTGATGTGGTTGGTCTCATAATGGGATAAATACCTACTCCAGACACCACAATCTCAATAAAGGACTTTTTTTTTCCTTTTTTTTTTTTAACGTAAAATTTTTAATCGTTATGCGTTTTTCCTATTCAACTCTCCAGAGAGGTTCTTCTCTCTCTGAACAATTGGACCTACTTAGGACTTGACATTGAAAAAAAAAAAAAAAAGGAAGTCAACTATTGAAGTCACACCTGTGGGATCAAACGTTTGCAGCTTCCCAGAGAAAAACGTCTCCTCGCCGTGTTAAAGGAGACAGACGGCTCATCTGGATGATGAGCTTTAATAGACGTAAATCCGGGTCACGTCGGCAACGGGTGGGGGGTGGGAGTCAAAACTTGCTGATGAATCAGCCGCATGCTGGGACGCAGTGAACGCCGGTGTGTGTGTGTGTGTGTGTGTGTGCCCTGAACGCATCACGCCCCGCGCTCGTGCTGTGCATGACTCACGCCTGGCGCGCGGAGAGATACCCACCCCATTAAGTCTGAGGAGATAAACAGCCGCCAGCCCCCCCCCCCCACCATCTCCCATTTTCTTTCATTTCCGTCTCGCTTTCTCACCCTTTGATTGCCAAATCTCGTGTTTTTTTTAATTTTCTGGGGGGTGAAATGATGACAGTTCGCGTCATTTCGCGGTACTTGGTCGTTCAGAGAGGAGGGGAAGAAAACACGGAGGATAGGAAGCCTCTCCATGACCCTCCTGCACACACAGGCGTGATGATGATTACCTCTGCCCCCCCCCAACCCCCCTCCCAACCCACCACCTGCACGTCTCCCTCTCTTAGACCTCTTAGACGGCAGTAATGAGTGTGGAATGAAACACTGTGCTTTTGTTTACGCTCTCCATCGGAATGGAATCTCCCTGTTATTCCCCCCCCCCCCCTCTGGGACCCCTCAGACCTTCATTGTCTGTTGTCTTCACTGTATTTTCTCTTTGTCATGCACAGACTGAGTTCCAACCCTTTGGAGCTGGCCCACTGCTTGTAGAATTCATTCTCTCAGTGGGCCTGTGGGAAACTGCTGTTTGGACAATGGCATAACACGCTGGGAATACTGGGAATTGACAGCGGTCCGCGGATAATCCCGCAATTAACGCGGAGCTCCTTCTAATCAGAGAAGAGTCGGAGCAAAAATCACACGCGCAAAAACAAACGATTCCAAGAATCGGCACAGATGATTGGTGACATCATCAACATCCGTCATGATTCACAGAGGCAGCCGTCTGGAAATCTCCAGGCACAAGCAGAAGTCTACTCACTCCACGTAGTAGGTGCCAAACTGGGGGTCCTCAATCCTCTCCCAGCCATATGGCAGCTCTAAGAGGAAGCACAGAGAGAAAGAGAACTTATTTTGCATCACAGACCAATTTGAAGAGACACTGTTTTTCACCTGGGTAATAACTCATGTAAAATGCGGAATTATGTGGACGCAAAGATGTGTTTCTGCTTGTTCTTTAGCCTGTCGCAGCATATTACACACTTTGAAAGGGGCGATGGATCGTGAATTAGCTGGTTGGCTAAGTGGTCTAAAATTAGGGGGCCTGCTGTTTTTGGGAGGGTGGGGGTGCTTCCTTTTTTTTTCAAAGTACTCTTTTTTTTCATCATTTAGCTAACAGCTAGCGTTGGCTAACTGAAAACTAAATCTGCCAAGCTCTGGGACAGAAATGCTGTTTTTGGTTGTTTTTTTTAAACCAAAATCATGGATTTATGATCCCGCCAAGTCGGGCAACTGGACACATGCAATGAGGCGTGGTGACAGCATGCATGCCTATCTACACCCACCAGACAGGAGGCCAGCTTGTAATTTCATCTATGCGTTTAGGATTTCACCAACCATGGTGCAAGAGAAAGGGAGGGAGAAAAAAGCTGTACGTTGTTACACAGGCTCCCACGGAAATAATAATAAAAAAACCCTGACTCTGTAGTGGATCTTTACGCCAAAGAAGGACTGGAGAAAATAGCCTTCTGAGAGATGTGGTGATGATGAGCTCTCCCTATGCGTCGGTCAAGCCATTAAGGGAGGGGGGGGGGGGGGCCCCCCCCCCCCGCCCGTCGGGTGGGGGAAAGGGGGGGGGGGGGGGGGGGGGGGGGAGCCTCACCTCCTTCCTCGCATTTCTCGGGAGGCTTGGCTCTCTTGGCGAGGCGGGGGTCCAGCCAGGTGGTGGTTTTGCTGTTGTGGCTGCATCACAAAAAAAAACAAAAACAAAGGGAACAGGGATTTATGCACGGCCGAGAAGTCAACGAGCGACAATTTTTCTGGTCAGAGAGCTCTTTCACCGCCGCCCCGAAACCAACAGAGCTCCGCTTTGAACCGAGTACGGGGGTAAATATCTATTCTTTAGGGATCTAAATGCCGCATCAAAGATGCTTCGGAGGGTTCCAGGTACAGGGATGAGAAAGCCGAGGGGAGACAAAAACTGAAAAGAAAAGACAGGGTAATTGCAGAGATGGCACGGAGCACAAAGGAGAGAGCGGGTCATGGGTGGAGAGCCACATTTAGCCTGTTGTTTCTCTGGCTGGCAGAATGAGCTATTGATTCAGCAGCAAAACAGGAGCACCTGGCTCTCTCTCTCTCTCTCTCTCTCTCTCTCTCTCTCGGCAGCTTACCATGCTGACGGGGGCCTGGTAAAGGGTGAGGGCCTGATGCTTTTAAGCACCAGCCCCGACACACATACAACAAGCAAAGGGGAAAAAAAAAGGGGAAAAAAAAAAAATTAAATTAGAAAAAAAAAAAAAAAAAAGGCAGCCACCGCGGCTGAGAAAATACAGATAGCGCCCGGACGGGGGTCTGCTTGCAATCAGGGGCGGCAGGAAGTCGCTGAGGAAAAGTTGTGAGGCTTTTCGGCTCGTGGTGGAAGGTGGGCGGGTGGGTGGGGGGGGCTAGGAGGACAGGCAGTCGGGTTAGCGACCTGTTGATCTAATCGGGTGTAATTAGAGTAACGCAAAGAAGGCGAGTAGTGACTTTGAGGCTACTCACTCTATGAAGTAGACCATGCCCGTCTCCGTGTAGGCCATCTCCCAGTTCTTGGGCAGGGGCTCCTGGCTGTCGTCCGGCGGGCCCCACACGCGCGGGTCCATGCTCCCCATGCCCGCCGACTGGTTGTAGCTGGGCACCGTCCTCCTCCAGTCCACCTTGTCCTTGTGCTCTGCGGTGCCCCGCCCGGCATCGATTGGTTGGAATGAGTTGGGGACCAAGGGGGGGGGTGCGGGAGGGTAGACGGGTGGAGAAAGAGAGAGAGAGAGGAGGTGAGACTGTGGCTCGCCCTAACGCCCCAGCTGCCCGAGCCCTGAATGCTGGGTGGACGGCTACGTCAACGGGAGTAGACGGGGTGGGAAGAGAGAGAGAGAGAGACAGAAAGAGAGAGAGAGAGAGAGAGAGAGAGAGAGAGAGAGAGACCAAGACAAGACACAGAGAGTTTCCAGGAAGAGAGTGCTGCAACTGCCATAGGATTTGCATGTTAGCTACAGTGTATTTGGGAACTGCCTCCGAGGCAGGGCCACAGAGGGCTTGTGTGTGTGTGTGTGTGTTATACATTTGCCTAATCTCGATATGTGTGTTTGCGCGCTGCTCTTATCTTCAGGTTTCCGTCCGACCCTGCGTGAGCCGGCCTAGTGCGGGCCACTGAAGGCTCCCCTTTGTTGGGCCGGGCTAAGTGAGTGGCAGAGACAGAGAGTGACAGCTGCTGTCTGCCGGATGTAAAGCCCCCTTTATTTTTTTGCATTTCTGCACTAATAGCGTTTTAAAATCATCGACCGCATTAAAAAAAAGAAAGAAAATGCTGTAGGGGGACAACATCTTTCAGTGCTTCTGGAGGAGCATAAAGGGACCTGCTGGGAGTGAGGATCGCCTAAACTAAAAAAATAAATATTAAAAAAAGCTACAGGGTCACTAAAGAGAAATAATTATGCTCAAGGTAATACTCTAAGTTCTTTTCAACTGCCTTTAAGGCACAGGAAAAATTTGTCCACCTCTAACCCTGTGGGTGGATGCTCCCCTCACTTTAGTATTCAGAACCACCCGCAAGCCCATATGAGTTTAATAACCAGAATTAGAGTTAGAAATGACATCCGGCTGCTATGTAGGGTTTTTGTTTTTGTTTTGTTGTTTGCATTTTGTGTAGTGGAGGCTTGCCCTCCTACAGTCAGCTGGAGATTATATGTGGGACAGTGTTTCTCATTGCTGTTTTTAGAAAAGATTCCCCAAGGAAAACACAGGTGTGACTCACAAGGTGGAGCAGTTGTCTGACAGCTTCCCTATTTCAGCCCTGTTTCAACAGCCTCCACCAAATGGTCAGAATGAAACTGTATGAAAGCAGCGAACGCCGCTGGTAACACGCCAGGTTTGAGTGAAGTTAGAAAATTAGACGGCACTCAATGATTTAGAGAATTTCCCCTTCTCTTGTTTTAAAAAGCACCCCAAAATATGGAGGGCGCTTTGTTGTGCAGCTTTCCAGCTAGTTCCTTCAGGTTTTTTAACCACATTTCTGTCCATCGACTCAGCTTAAAGCTCCAGTTCCAGCAACCCCAAAGCATGATACTACCACCATCGTGTTTTAATATTGGGATTTTTTTTTTTCCTTTTAAATTTGTTTTCGAAGCACCAGTTATAATTTTTTCGGAATTATGGCATAAAAGTTAAAGTTTTAAGGTTAAAGTCTGTTCTTGTCTTATCATTTCTCTTCTCAGTGCAGTAATTTGTAATGTCTTTGCTTTAATGCGTTTTTTTCCCGCCACTTTTGATGACCGTCTGTGCTCCATGGTGTTTTCAAACTCTTTTGTACACTCCTGACTGATTCCTTTCAGAAATTATCCTCTTGGTGCTTTGTGAGTTCTCTTAAACCAAAGCTTCTGTTGTAGCAGGCAACTGAGCAAATGTCAGGAAAATCCCACGAGGAGAGCTGTTCTTTATTTGGGGTTAATCGGGAGGTGTGTGCCAAATGCTGTGATCCTTTTCAGGTGCTTCAAAATGGGTGCGCAAGTCGGTTATTTTTCCAATTACACTTTTAGTGTCTTCAGGTTATATGTCATATCCAAGGTTGGAAAAGAATTTAGATAATCAATAGAGATAAATCTTTGCCCCCCAAAAATGATTTAGCATGAAAAAACAGCATTTTTATAGAGTTGTGTCTTAGTTTTATATCCACTGTGTTGTAGCTTTAGAAAGTCCCAAAAATATACAATATATATACCAGTGGTGGGCCGTCAGGGCCTTAAAGGCCTTCTCTGAAGGCCTAAGAAAATATCTGAATCACAGACTGATGTTAATTATATTTTGTCCATGAAAACTTAAATTAAATATCTCGAAATAGTCTGTCCGCTTCTTTTCATAGCTTTCCCCCTGGTTGCGCTGCTTCCAGACATGTATTTTCATATAAAAGCATTTAACCAATCACATTTCAGACATCCTTTGTCGCTAGGCAGGGTCAAAGTCAAAGATGTCTGCCTGGAGGCCTTCACAATCCGTTCTGCAGGCCCCCCCCCCACAGAAAATACATGTCAAGTACATTGTTGCTTCAACCAATCAGATTTTAGGTTGGTGATGCCAGGGCCTGCGCGAAGGCCCAGGAAATGCCACCGTACCCACACCCGCTGATTGGATAGTCAGATATCCAATCAGGGCAAAGCTAGCAAACAAACCGAAATATAGTTGTGTTGGTGTAATAGCTATTTTATTATTTCGTGGCGGATTTACTGTCAAGACCATTTTCAAAACGGACTTTTCAAGAAAATTAAGTGAGTAAAATGTTTTTTTCCTAAATAATATTGCGAGTTTATGAGG